GCTTGATATTATATTGCCACATACTTTAACATAGAGGATATGCAGTTGTCATGACGACAGTAACAGCTTGATATTGTATTGCCACATATTTTAACTTAGAGGACATGCAGTTGTCATAACGACAGTAACAGCTTGATATTTTATTGCCACATACTTTAACATAGAGGATATGCAGTTGTCATGAAAACAACAACATGAATATGTATATAGCTTAGGAAATGTGTAGTAGTCACAATAATAGCAACGGAATGACGCAGTATGGCACATATTGGTATATATTACGGAGCATACTACAAATGTGGAAGTTATACAGTTGCCATGACAACACCATTAACAATGTTATATACTATTGGCAGTTACAAACTAACAAAACATTGTTGTTATTTGCTTACCCTCCAGTTCCATACATTGATTAACATATCATGCTGATAGCCAACAGAGACAAGAAACTTTAAATTAGGAGAAAATGCCTGTTGATAGACATGCAAATATCAGTCACATGAACATTCTAAAAGCAATGTGTGATAACCATAGTAACCATCATATGTTACTCACCACACAAGATACGCCATGTTTATGTCCTTTTTTCATTTCAGATGTTTGAGGGTGGCTAGGATCTTCCAAAATCCATACCCTCACTGAAGGCATGTGCCCACTCTGACAATAAATAAAACACTAAAGTTATCAGCATCATAATGTATAAATTATTGTTATATTGCTACAGATTTTGCCGATATAACGAACACTCTCATTGGTTAACATGTGACACTTGCCAAATCTAAATATATCCCAACCAGGAAATAAGTTACTTATTTCCCAGTCAGGGAATGAGTAGCATGTGACAGGAATGGTGAAAATAAACCAGTGTACGTGATCAGAACGTGAAAAACGCTGGTGGCATAATATTTTGCAGGAATCACAAACACCAAAGCTGGAGCAGATATTTGCTGCAATCTTTAGTAAGAATGGAGCTCAATGCAAAACGAAAAACAAAAACAGAGATTATCCATTTTTTCAATGCATAAATAAATGTCCAAAACGCTGTATTGAATAAGTGTTGTGGTTCATTGTCTGCACCAAAACGCTAATGAAAGTTTGAAAACATTAATGAACCCACGCAAACATATTCATGATTGTCAAATTCAATGCTAAATTTCTTTAATGAAAGTTCCATCGCACTCTCGAGACTCTGTTCGCCTTATTGTATGCCCGTTCGCTCTAATGAAAATGCTTCTTCGCTTCAATTGATATTCCTTTGCGGTTGATGAACAGCAAAAGGTGTACTAAACGTTTGGTCCCTCAGGAAATTAGTTAGTTTTGTTTTACCTTGAGTAACAATGTTGTGAAACTCTCAGGAAAACAAACTCAGCTTTGCCTCAGGGAACATCAAGACACTGGGGAAAACAAAACTGTACTATTTCTCTCGAGACCAGACATTAAGTGTATAATATTATATTTATTTTAAATAATTTATCAACATAATTACATGAAGTATTAATACTGCTCTCTGATGCACACAATGTTATTACAAGCATCACTGAACCTATGCAATGACTTTATATTCATAAACATTGGCACTGTGATGCCAATGTGCAAACCAGTAAATGATGCATGCCCAGTTTTTTAAACTTTTAAACTTACAGAAACCAACCAATAAACAGATTGCACATTACAGACCTGTTGTCTAGCCATGTTTCAGTATTATATTTACCTCTCCAGTAGCTAAGAATTTCCCATCTCTTGAAAATGATACAGCAGTGATGCTTTTCCTATAACAAAAAGTAGAACACTTTCAGTTCAATGGTATATAAATTTCCTTTTTACTGCTGTTAAAGTAATTCAAGTTAAACTTGGAAAGATGATTAGAGTGAAAAATAAAAAACAAGCCTAAACTCTAAAATGGCCATCTTTTGTTTTATTATCATTACAAATCATTGCAAGAAATTTGGCTCAATTTAACTTAGGCCCTGTGAACAATATTTAGAAGGGGTACCAGGCAATCTGGTGTCAGAGTTACCATAATGTCAGATAATTTTATGAAAGGTCATAGATGGAGCAAAAGTTCTCTAATTCAAAACTACAATGTGCCAAAAATATTTTTAAAAATAACATCCTTATAATCAAGACAAGAGAGGAAAGAGATGGCTTACAAGCAAGGAAGTCTACTATATTTTGAGATCAGGTGGCAGTGACTTACAAATACATGAAGTAATGACCCTTGAGGTTGATACACAAGCATGAAAAATGGCCTCTACATTTGTATCACTCACACTTGAGTAGTTAGTGCTAACATACCTCGAAACATTGTGAATAAAATCTTGTTTGTTTCTTCGTGGATTGAAAAGCACCACAACACACCTGGATAAAATAATATATAAAAAAATAGTTCTTTAATTCTTTTACCAGCTAAACTGAGAGAAATTTAATTTTCCATGCTTGATAACATTTGTTTTAAAATCTCCTTGCACTTAAATCACTTCTTTAACTTCTTAAACCTATATATGGATTAAACCAAGCAAGAAATAAGTAGCATGCATCACATCCAGACTCTTTCTAGGACTTAACCGAGAAAAAGTCTGGATGTGATGCAGGCTAGAAATAAGATGTAAGGTAATGTATTGTTAAACTTTATTGAATGCCAGTATAGTACTAAAAGCTTTTTAAGATCCAATTTCATGTACTTAATATATTTTACATAAATAAAAAATAAAATAATAAAAATGTAAAATATCAATGATTTAAATATGTACAATGATCCTAAATTTGTTGAAAAATCATGATAATTGGCTAAAACATATAAATAAAATAGTACTTATAATTCTCTTTTTAAATATTTGAAGGTTCATCATGATTTATGGGTGTACGTTTTAAGTAATGACAAACAGCGTTTAAAACTAAGTTACAACATGACAAAACTAGTGTACCATGAAACTTAATGATTGATTAGAAGAATTAAACTTTAAGAACAGCTGAAGATAAGCATAACTGCATGCACCAATGAACAAGTAATTATTTATTTTGCATGAATACTCATTTACAGTTTCAGTAGAAAAAAAATAATTATAAATATGTGCATATAATATGATTAAGTCTGCAGGTCAGTAAAGCCAATGTCAAATAAATGTCTTGATTTGCATGAAGAATCATCAAGGAAGACTTATCATGATGGCTTTTCTTCCACACACCATAGATGCAGACTTCAAATAGTAAACAAAATGTACAAAAACCTTTTTGTACTCAAGCCAAACAATACACGTTTGCAATTATTTTCAGTAAAAACCTATTTTTACACAGCTTTTTAAATTAATGTGAAGCAGTTTAAGCAGTTAAAACATGGATGGACAAGTAAAAAGATCTTGATGATATTATTTTTCTATTCTAGCATTGGAAGCTAATTCCTATGTAAACAATAAATCTTAATGTCACTACGGAGAAAATTTTATGGAAGTCAAAACAAAGTCATTCTAAAAATGATATGAAGAAGACATACAAGAACATTACAGACAATAATTAAATATTGGATGGAAATTACATAATTGAATGCTTCAAATCTAGAAAGCAGAGATGTGATCAGACTAGATAGATCAAAAGATTAGGTTTTAGTTAAAGAATTGAGTACAACGTGATGATGGATTCTGTAAAGTTTTTATACCTGATCTAATCATGGAATAGATTAGCGAATTAAAACCCGTATGTACGAACAGTTATTCAATAACGAAATAACGCAATGCTTGGATATATTAATATTTAAGAAAAAAAACGTATTTGCAAAATAAAATTACATATGCTGAACAAACAATTTTGGTGATAATACAAATACATTTATCTATTACCAAAATGGTTTTCACGGCAAGTAAATTGCAATGTTGTCATTGTTTAGAAATGGGAGTTAAATAATTTATTTTGTATTCATTTTACTGGTAATTATTTCTGGATTTGACCGACATCGATTTTGGTTCAGATTCTAGTAGTTTTTCTCATTATTATTCTTTTTACAATTTATTTTCTGCATGGCATTTAACGTTTTGAAGTCTAAATTTTAATCATGTTTTTCTTTTTTGACCGGAGAAAAATTTAAAAGAATAAGAAGCTTGGCTAATAACAAGGTATCTGATGGTCTTATGCACAGCCGATAATGTACGATCGCAGAAAATATTTTCTAAATCATAATTCTAATGTGTCAAGAGGTAAATGTGAATTAAGTCGTCTTCTAACGTAAATATAAATTAAATTTCCCTTGATAAGTCTTTTAATAATATCATTGTTTTTAAGAGACTATAAGTAGTAGATTAAATCTCAACAAGAAGTGAAAGTGCGGCTTCCTGAGAGCTTCATCTTCCAACGTCCTTCAGTTATGAATTTAAACTTACCCAGCCGGGTAGGCAACAATTCCATCCACAGGATTGCATGCTAGGCAAGCATTTGATGATGCAGTTATTCCTAAAACCTTATCTAAGGACAACTGGAAGAAAGAGAGAAGAGAAGAAAAGCTTGAGCTCAAACAGTCGACATGGCAGATTATGTGTGTGTACTTTAACGACACTTACCCGTTCACTGATGGGACGCAAATCTCTTTGACTATTGGCTTTACGGATAACAAGCTTTCTTGTTGGAGGCGGAACACGACCTCCCTTTCCTCCGAAGAGAGAATTCATTGTTAAAACATGCTACTTGGAATAATTTGGCGAAGTTTTACAGGACGAGATTCCAGTCCAAATATTCTTCGTGCTGATTAGCTTATATCGATCCAACAGATAAAATCTTTTCTTTTTTTTTTTTGCATTCAGAAACGAAAGTCTGGAAGTACTATTGTCTTAGTACAAGCCTGCATAGATATTCCTGCAAATAGAAGTATTATGTTGAGTTGAAATAAGCCATAAAGCTAGTAAAATGGTTCTGTTCAGCAGAGCCAAACAAACTTCACGCTTCTTCTTCTTCTTCTTCTTCTTTTTGAAAAATTTGAGCCCGCCACATTTAGCGCATGTCCACTTCCGCTACCAACTAGGTCCAGGCTACTTCGTCTGATTCACTAGGAACGCCTCCTCAGTTTGCTTCTCTTATTATTTCCGGAAGGAAGGTCAATGCTTTAGAAAGGATTTGAACTTTCTGATAACATTTATTGGTTTCAGTTAGTATCGATTACCAATTACAGTAGCTTGTTGTCAAAATAGAGAAAAACGAAAGCAATTTTTTTTGTGGATTTTTAGAAATATTCTTAATATTCATTCAAAAATATCAAAAAGAACGTTCATTTAAAAACTTTAATTTTAAATATAATGTAATAATAATGATAATAATATATGGCTTATATAGCGCTTATACATGCTTGTTCTAATAAGCAACAAACATAAATGAACATAGTAAACATAATAAACATATAAACATAAACATATTTAAAAAAAATACATTATAACTAAATGGTTATATAAAAAAAACTCTAATAAGTTTGACCATGGTCTTGTACATGAAATATATTAAATCAGGAAACTGAATGATACTTCGAAAGTTTGCCTGTAAATGAAAGCAAAATCACGTCATTCCAACGTGGCTGGGGAGATGGTGTCAGTCAATGCTGTGTCAATATAATCACGTAGTGGCATTGCATATCATAACCTGTGACGTAAGGATACGTGTCATTAAGGTTTCGTTTAAGTTTTGTAATATTTTATTAGGGCGACGCAAATCAGACACTCAGCATTACCATCAGGGTTGCTTATCTGCAAAGACATGGCTCCTCTTGGCTTAATAAGCAAATCTGAAGGTTCAAGCATTCCGCTTAAAAGTATTGAAATTCACTCCAAAGTTCATGGCTATACAGCTGAGGTTGTAGCAACGATGGAATATGAAAACAACAGAGACATTCCCATAGAAGCCGTTTATGTGTTTCCTATCGACGAGGAAGCGGCCGTCTGCGGTTTTCAAGCGACTATAGAAGGAAGAACCATCGTAGCTGAGATACAAGAGAAGCAAGAAGCTCGTGATACGTACGATGATGCCATAAGTAGCGGGCACAGTGCTTATCTGCTCGAAGAAAGCGACGAGAGCTCAGACATCTTCCAAATAAGCGTGGGAAACCTAGCTCCACATAAAACAGCTAAGGTCCAGATTACTTTTGTGACAGAACTGGCTGTAGAGAAAGAAGGAGGAATTGTTTTTGTGCTACCTACAGTACTCAACCCTAGATATACTCCGATGGACTCCCAGCATACTGGGAGTGTAAGCACAACAATGCCTACCATCGCTTCAGTGAGCACAAAATATGCATTTGACTTCGAACTGGATGTACAGTGTGCATCTGCAATTCGAGAAATTACCTCCCCTAGCAATCGCCTCAGAGTTGATATCAATCCAGAGGATGACAGACAAGCCAGAGTTCTACTTGACGAAGAATATAAATTTAATGTTGATTTGCAGGTCCACATTTTGAGCTGTCAGCCTCGTTCGCCTCATGCTTTGGTGGAGAACGGAGTTACCAAAACAAAAGATGGAAGAGAGTCCAATGATTTTTTGGCAAAGCCGGTAGTCATGCTAAATTTCTTTCCCGAATTTGACATCTCCGCAAGTCTTGAGCGAGGAGAGTTTCTATTTGTCATAGACCGAAGCGGAAGCATGAATGGCGCAAAGATAAGAAGTGCTAGGGAAACACTCCTCTTGTTTTTGAAAAGTTTGCCGGACAGCTGTTACTTCAACGTGATTGGTTTTGGGAGTTCTTTTCAAAAGTTGTTCACAAAGAGTGAAGTTTACAGTGATTCTAGTGTAGATGTTGCTTGTTCACATGCCCAGTCTATGCAGGCAGATTTAGGGGGGACCGAAATTCTCAGACCTCTACAAGACGTGTTTTCAGAGCCTCTCATCAAAGGTTATCCTCGTCAAGTATTTCTCTTGACAGATGGCGAAGTTGGTAACACACAGCAAGTCATTGACTTAGTGGCACGAAATGCTTTCAAATTAAGGTTAGGGGTGCATTATTTTCGGTTATCTAGCTTATCGATTTCATTCTTCACATAATTTTTTTTTGTTTCACAGATGCTTTTCGTTTGGTATTGGCGAAGGAGCCTCCACTGCATTAGTCAAGGGGGTTGCTAGAGCCGGAAGAGGCACTGCTGAGTTTGTTTACTCCGAAGACAGATTGCAACCCAAGGTATTCGAGTGACCTTCTTAAAGAAATATTTATCTGGAAATGTGATCTTTTATTTCGAGCTAGTTCTTGTTTTTCTTTTTTATAACTCGCTTTCTAACCCCAAAAGACATAAATCCGATACAGGTGCTGAGAGGGGAGGGGGAAGGGGGCTTGCAGATCCCACACTTTTTTAGGAAACGATGCGCTAGTCTACCCACGCTATATAGGAGATTACAGGACATAGTCATACTCATGCATGTTCAAAGTCAAGAACCAATTGTGTCCGAAATATATTCAGGATTTATTCCAAGTTAATAATACTATAGCAGGTATAATTTAAGCAGATTTCATAATTCCTAGTTTCAACTCAGTTACTTATGGTGAACATAGTAGAGCGAAGGCATTTAACCCCGGGGGGGGGGGGTACTCCCATATATGGACTATATGGGGATGATCCGCTGAACAGGGTATGGTTTTTCGAGCTTCTTGTCATAAACAGGGTATGCAATTTCACTCAAGTTCCTAGTTCTTCCCAAGTTTCCTGTCATATTCAGGGTTTCTACTTTCGTATTGACTGAAACTGGTCATTATGGTCGTCAAAAAAGGATACGCGAGATGACATGATAATTGAAACAAGAACTCAGCGCAATAAATTATATCTTTTGTCATAAACAGGGTCTACAAATTTGAGTTTTTTTGTCGTAAACAGGGTACCCCTTTCAGAGTCCCAGCGGAACACCCCTACCCAAATTCTGGCAGAGTACCCCCCCCCCCCCCCCCCCCCCCCCCCCCCCGGGCATTTAACCCGTGAAATAAAAATACTAGTCAACGTGTAATAGTCAAATAGACAGAAAAGAAAACGAGAAAAGAAAAGAGTCCTTTTGAAGCTGTCTAAGCTGTCTAGTATAAAGTTATTTAGGGCCTGTGATATGGTCAAAATTGAATACCACCATTAAGTCAATAACCACTTTGGGCAATATCCAGAAAGGTATAACGAAAATAGATTTATTGGAGCTTTTAGAAAGTAAATGTAATTATGATTGTGTCCTTTGTTGAAATTAGCATGTGATTATGTATAACTATTTCAATATTTTATTATATTTTTAGAATCTTATTATTGCATTATATAATTTTATTCTTTAATCTTAGTCATAAATACATAGATATTAAGTGTTCATTATTTATTTATTCATATATTTATCTTTAAGTTGTAAATAGTGTCCCCAATAAGAAGACTTTTCAGTCAGCTATTTTTCTTAACTTGACACTTAAATAAAGTTATTATTATCATTATTATTATTATTATTATGACTTTCATTAACTGACTTTGGACTAAAAAATACATTGGCTTTACAAGTGAAAGTGAAACATAATATGAGAAGTGAATGTATAAATTTTAAACGGCTCTTAGGCAAATTTTCAAACTGACAATTTAATGTCCGATCAATTTTTTCCCTGCGTTTAGTAATCATATTTTGGATGTTTTTGAAGGTGATAAAGACTTTAAAAAGTGCATTACAGCCAGCTGTTAAAGATGTCCAGGTTACATGGACCCTGCCGAAAGATTGGGAAGTCGAGGACGTTCCTACAGCAAGTCCTACCCTATTCGCGGGGAACAGATTTGTATCATTTGGAATATTCAACAGAAGAGATCAGAGCAAGTACAACAATAGGCAAATTGTGGCGATAGAAGGGACAGCTACCCTTACTGGGCATGTAGATGAAGGTCCCAACCCTTCACTTATTCGGCACGTGATCAAGTTCAGTGCCGTGTGCGGTAACCCAGGAGACACAAGTGTGATGCTTCATCGATTATGTGCTAAGGCAGCCATTCAAGAAAAGCAAAATCGATGTGAAGGGGACATTAAAAACGCTAGTGATATTATTAAACTCCCCATCATTAATCTAAGCAAGTCCACCAACATAGTATCAAAGTTAACGTCCTTCGTCGCAGTTGATGAAGATAGCCGCGAACCAGTGTCTAGGGCAATGGAGAGACCAGTCATGCCCATACAAGATGACTGTGGCAGAGTCTTTGCTCTATGCAGTATGAATGCAGGGTTTGGTTATGGAATGTCTCAACCCATGATAGGTAGCGGAAGTTTCCCTCAACACATGATAGGTGGCGGAGGTTTCCCTCAACCCATGATAGGTGGCGGACGTTTCCCTCAACCCATGATAGGTGGCGGAGGTTTCCCTCAACCCATGATAGGTGGCGGACGTTTCCCTCCACCCATGATGGGTGGCGCATCTTTCAAAACTGCCCAACAAGGAATTGGATTTTTTAGTGCGGATTCAGCTCCACCCCCTCCAGGGAAGGCAAGTCATTATGCATCAGTGACACCACCACCACCACCACCACCACCAAGAGAATCATCTAAAGTAGTGGGGCGTAAAACACTAGGACATTTGAAACATAAATATGGAGCAACACCTTCCGCTAGGATTTCAAGTGATGGTGACGTGGACAGCCATATAGTCCTAATATCAATGCAAAAAGCGTGTGGGTCATGGCAACCAACCACACAGCTGGCCAGTATTTGTGGGGTCACTTTAGACACCCTGAAAAAGGCTTGTCCAAAAGAATTGACACAAGACAACAGGGAAAGTATGTGGGCGACAGCCTTGGCATTATCCTGTCTGTTTGAGAAGTTCGAAAACAAAAAAGACGAATGGGAAATGGTGGCAGCTAAAGGCATCAAGTGGCTTAAAGCGAACCTGTCATCAGACAACCACAGCTACATTTGGATCATGGACATTGCATCAGAGTTTCTTAAGTTGTAACAAAATTGATAAGAATCTGTCCATCGATAACGATAGAATAACAGTAGCCTATTCTGAGTACGTGTGTAACTAGTTATCACAACCTCTGAGATTTACTACACTGGAACTGTGACGTCATTATCTCAAATTACACTCCATTTCTATCTGTTCAAAGTAGTTAGTAAAACATGAGGAAAAAATTATTAACGTAACAGTAGTATTGACGCTAGCTAGCTCAACTGACATGGAAAAAAAACCCGGCCTAGTTTTAGACCGTACATTAGTTGAAGATAGACACTTAAAACTTAAAAAGCCAAAAGGAAAAATTATATTCCTTTACAGTCAAACCACCTCATGCGTTCCTATCAAGGTTTAAAGATTCATTTCATCATTGTAAGTTTGATTTCCATTCTGCTTTGAAGCCTACATTAATGAAACGAACGCTGTAAATTTCAATCCCGGTATTTGCCGGCTCTAAATGTTCAATTGTGAAAGAATTGTTTTGAACAAAACTGCACACCAAACAAATAACTTTAAAATGGTGAAATAATTTCAGCTTTGCACGAATTCGTGAAGAACTAAAGAAACTTTTAATCCGAGCCAAGACTTCAAATTCAAAACGTTCGTTTCATTAATGCAAGTTTCAAAGCAGGATGGAAATCAAACTTCGAAAAAAAATAAAATGAATCTTTGAATCTTTGAATCTTTGAATCTTGATAGGAACGCATGAGCTGGTTTGACTTAAACTGTTAATTTTTCTTTGCAACTATACGAAATAAAGTTAAAGATAATATTAATATACCATGACCATTTTTCTACCTTTCTCGATGTCACAGTAGTCGCGTTCGAGATATTTAGGGATTTTAAGATTTGCAAAATCTGCGACGGCGACGTCTACCGGAAGTGTAAATAACTTCACTTTGGGGTTTCGCACCTTCAAACTCTGTCCTCCCTGTGGATGAGTTTAGTTTTACTGACAATGAATAAAATCTCCCATGAACAGAACCCCAAAGAGAAATCACTCACACTTCCGGTTGACGTCACTACATTGCATTATATTGAATTATAACGTAGTTGAGCAGTGAACTGACTAGCACTACCAAAATGTTCTCATTATTGCCGAAAGGCAGGAACGTCGTGGATGGTTAATTTATTCCTACCAATAAATGTATTTGGCGATCCACGTTTGTATCGATCCATGTTTGTACAATACATAAAGTACCATGGGTCTAAAGCTTCGCAATCAATGAACGTTAATATAACAAACGTGGCCATTTAATACAAAGATCAGCGAAACAAGACTACGTTTCGTTGTCATCGAGACAACATCTTCTGGTCAACGTGGACAATTGAGGAAAATACTGTCCATAAAGTCGTGAACCAGAAACTTTATTTAACGAAAAGTGTTGGTCAGTCAGCTAGCAACATCTTCATATCTATGCCACTGGTAAATGTTCTACAAGCATTTTTCTTTACATTTTGTACATTTCTCAAAATCTAAATACATGTTTTATGGAGTATTCTCTCGTCGTTCTCTCTTCACATTGGACTACCTCAGTCACTATCTCATGCATTTATTATGATACACTACATTAGCACATCATCTCTCATTCTCCCAATACCTACATCTTCATCAGCGTGACTGCTCATAGTCTGCAAACAAAACAAAAGAATTATCCTCGTATAAGTATTACAGGTAACTTGTTTGTGATCAGAAAAAAATCGCAAGTAAAGGCTCCGACATCACTAGCGTTGGAGTTACCGAGGTATTTCAACATTTTCTTGATAAAATGATGAATAAAAAAGTCGCTTTTTTGACTGAGACCATCACGCCATTGTCAGCAATGTTCGAGACATACACACGATGAACCTTGTTACACACAACGTTTAAAAATTTTCAAGTCTTCAAGAGATCAACCGCAATTTGTTGATTGCGTGCAACAGTTCAACATGTGTCTGGGCAAGAGAAAATTAAAGTTCATATTCTTCTATTCTTGGTCTAGGCCATAAAAGAATTGTATGTTCTGTAGAGCTGTTGGCTTTCCATATGGTGCAATTTGATGACTGAATGCAAACTTATGCACAACAGGTGTAACGAGTGTCTGGGTCAAATATAAAAGAACTGGATATTCTGCAGAACGGTTGGAAACCTTAACACACGGTGCAATGGTCCCTTTTACAGTTCCCTGCACCAATTTGCAAGTAAGCCATGCCTTTGCATTGAAGCGAGACAAACGGTGAGCTTGGAATGATAGAGTAATTGTCCAAGGTGTTGAAAAAATATCTCTATCATTGCAAGCTACCTTTCAAGATGGCGCAGGAAACTGTAAAAGGGACTATTTGATGCCTGCATGCAACGTCGTGCACAACAGGTGTACCGTGTGTTTGGCCTCAGAAAGTGTGTGCATGCAAATCTGTTGTATCATTAATCATGAATCATGTGCTGTCAGATCTTCACTCTACTGATTCGCCTTTCCATACAAGTGAAACCTGTGATGCTTTTATTACAACCATCAGTTATTATTATAGATTATTAGATAGCTATGTTTGACATAGGTATACAGCCATATCTAAAAAGGTTGGCAAAGGCTTTGTTGAGTGTTGCATATGAAGCCCCCCCCCCCCCCCTGCACCGCCCTGCACTATGGTTGAAAACGACCAGCGAAAAGTCACAACAATATGAAATTTTCCCAAACTTTTTGTCTGCACGTTTTTCTGGTATTATTGTCTTCTGTGCTGACATTATTTACATATGAATATAATACATTTCAAGCTTAGCAAGCAACATGCAACAAAACCCTTACCAACCTTTTTTGAAACAGCTTATAATTGTCACAAACCTTTTGCACAAACTGCGGATTCACTGCAAGTTGTCTGTCCATATTCTGCAACTTTTCATCAAGTTGTTGGTACTGTCGAATCTGGAAATATAGAAAAGGTACGTAAGTACATTCTGAGTTTAGGGAGCATTCACAAACACTTGTTGGGGGGGACTGATGAGAAATTATCCTTTGTGAAAAAAATTTGCAGGACCCCTTTTGTTCCATTGAAATAATTTGAGACACCCCCCCCTATCCCCCAAACCTGGCATTTTTAGACCTCAAATTTACTTTTCATCAATGAAAACATTTAGTATATCATAGTTATTCCATGGCCATGTTTATCTTTTTAATATTAGGTACCCCCCTTCAGAGCTTTCTTTTTTTCCAGTACCCCCTTTTATATCTTCATTTTTTGAGGGACCCCCCACTTTCTCATCAGTACCCCTCCCCCCTAAGAATGTTTTGTGAATGCTCCCTTAGAACAAAGCCCCAAAACTACTGGGATCAGATGGACCAACTGACCAGATAAGATATTTATTTGATATACTTATTTTATCCTTTACCTCATCATCCAATTTTTTAAGCATTTTTGGGCTGTTATATTTTTCAGGGCTGTCATGAAAGCAAACCATCCCATCACGCTGGTTTATAGCTGCATAAATTTCACCATCTTCTATCTGAAAGGTGCATAAAATACATGAAGGAAAGCCAGTTAATTAAACAGAATTTAACATTGATGATTTAAGAATAATCATTTTATGATAAAGCACCCTTTCAATATGGATATAATCAAAGGTGCTTACAATCATGAGTATGAGGTGTAGGCACTGAGGGTGGTCAATGCCATGGTTCATTTACATCCACTTTCTACATCCCTCCATTATTGGTTAGTAATGATGAAGTGTGGAGAGACATTCAGAGCCCAGGGGCGGATCCAGGGGAGGGGTACAGGGGGTGCGCACCCCTCCCTGGTTCCATTTTGGGCCTCTACTTCGAAGATAACCAATACTGTTTTTTCCTTTTGATTCTAAAGGGTGCACCCTCCCTGAACAAAATCCTGGACCCACCCCTGGAGCCACTTGAAAGTCTAACCATTTGCAGATGTTATTACAAAGGCAGCATTTTCCTCCTTGGTTATTTTAAGTCCCTAAGTGTTGGTCCCGCCAGCACTTAAACCATGACCTCCTACACAAAAGTGTAATGCTCAATGTGAAAATGGCCTTTCTACAGAATAGCCTTTTGTCCACTAAATTCCAATTGGAATATAGAAGTTAATTTTTGTTAAGTGAGGAAAACCAAAGAATCTGGAGAAAAACCTTTAATGCACAGGAGAAAATCAACTCTACTCACACATGACACTGAGTCAGGGACTCAATGTTGGCTTGCCTTGGTGAGAGGTGGTAAATAACCTATTAGACGCCCACTATCTAATAAACGCCCTGTGTCTAATAGACGCCCCCCTAATCCTCCATATATTTATTAAACGCCCCTCTCTACTAAACGCCCCGTATCTAATAGATGCCCCCCTCCAAAGGTTAGTCAAGTACAAGCAATAGAAAGACAAACGGTAAATTAACATTAATTCATTCAGTTTCTTGCTTAATCAATAATGGTTTTCTAATCATACAGTATCTTGCTCTATTTTGAGCTCAAAGTAGGGTATCGCTCTTTGATAGCTTTTATCTCCTTGCTAAGAATGTCAGCAATCTTTCATCGATTTGTCCTTGCATAATACTACCCAGGAACAATTGAGGATTGGAGCAACTCAAGGTGCAGCTTTCTGTTTTAGACAAAGGCAAACGCCCAGACCCTTTTAGTGACATGAGACTCAGACATTGATGAAGCAAATGAAGAGAATGAATGCTTGATGACCAGGATGATTCCGATGTGACATTGAATCAATTTAACTCGTTGACTGTGATCTGTTATTGAACATTTCTTGTTGCTGTTCTTACATTTTGGGCACATTTCTGCGTTGTTATTTTCAGTTTTTAAAGATTGAAATAAACGCCCCTCTCTAATAAACGCCTCTTATCTATTAAACGCCCCCCCCCCCCTTTGTTACGAAAATCTAATAGACGCCCGTCGTCTAATAGGTCATTTATGGTTCTCTCACCAAAATAAATTAAAGCTACAGTGCCACCTGGTTATCATGAACAACCTTGTAAGTCCAGACCAAACACCCATGCATACATTTTCTATTAAAGTAGACACACAGCTAATACAGCCACTTTAATCTGTCCCTTTGGTGGCTGTATTAACCAGGATCCACTGTACATCATAAATTAATCCTGCTACCTGTAGGTAAGATCCTTAAGATTATAAATAGTAAGTAAAATAATATTCTTACCATATGAAGTATGTGTTGTTCTGCTTCTCTTGGGCTGTTCAAGTGCACTCTGCTTGCCATGTCACTCAGTGAAAGGGTTAAAAATGTCTGCAAGCAACAAATGTAGTGATTAAATTTATTTTGCAATGATTACAGGGAGTGATTACAACAGAGTGATAAAATTTCAACACCAGATAAAAAATATACAAATACAATATACAAATAAAAACCATAAAAATGTAATGTATTCCCATTTCAGACCACACATCATTCCCTAGACTATAAATTCTTTATTTTAAATAAATATTCTTACGATTAATAATGGTTTGCTTGCAAATGAGAAGACACAAATAATAAATATAAATATGTATATCAGTCATACGAAGAATCTCATTCTCAAGAGAATGTCATGTGGTCTGTCCAAGCTATATCCTTTGAACCCAATTCATGAGTTATTGATATTTTTTATGAAATCACTTTATCAACATACCTTTGTCAATCTCAAGATATTCTTTTTGTAAATGGAACTTCTAACTTGTTTTATTAGTCCTACATTGTTATCCTAGGAATAAATGATCATTCAATCACTTTAAGGTCGCTCTCGTTTCCTATCACTTGTTTCATAAGTCCTACATTGTTATCTTAGGAATAAATGATCATTCAATCACTTCAAGGTCACTCCTGTTTCCTATCACTTGATAACCTCAACACCAGCAAACACCATTCTAACTGATTTTTAATTTTTTTTTTTATACTGACCCATGAGCAAAAGCTGCTTTGATTTGGGTTTTGTAACAGTAGACAATAGACAATAGAGGCATCATCCATTACTCTATACCAAGCATGAGTGACGTATACTGAGTGAACGAACACGTGTGGAATTCAGTGTAAATTCTTTGTACACATGTAATGTTATGCATGGATTATATTCTTTTGTCTAAAATTTAGCTAACTGTAATAATTTAGTCTTGAGGAAGTCAAGTCTTGAAAAAAGAGGAACTGAAATCAATTATACAGTACGATTGTATCATAAATTAAAACATGTTCAGTTTTAACGAGATTTTAATCAGTTTATTCACTGATTATTTCTTATTTTATGTTTACTTGAAGACTCTCATGTTGAAAGATTAGTGGCAAAAAGCACTCTTCGCTATTAAACATAAATGCTTAAGATGCATATACAGGTATATAATGCAAATGTCTATAAAAATACTTAAATGCAAAAGCCCTAATTTGGCTGAAAGGACCTTTTGGATTATAAAACAATAGAATGAGACAATTACACAATAGATTCGTTCTATTGTTTGACATGTACAATGCAATACAATACAATAAACTTTATTTAAGGAGGGTGACACAATTAACCCAGAGAGTTATCTAACATGTGGCCCTCAAAATAACGTACTCAAAGGTCTTTTTGGTCTATGTGTGTCTGTAAAAATTTGTCTAAGAGGGGCAGTCAGCACTCAATTACATACACTGTAATTTGGCTGAAAGGACCTTTTGGATTATAAAACAATAGCATGAGGCAATTACACAATAGATTCGTTCTATCGTTTCACATGTCCTCAAAGGTCTTTTCAGTCTATCCAATCAAGTGCTAACCAAGAAGGACACCAGTCCACAGGAACCCCATCTAGAGTAGAATACATATAATAAGAGATGTTGGCAAAGGAGGCTTGTTTTTTTATTACTTTTAGCTCACTGTACAAAAGCAATTGAAATATAATTTTGAAATAACAGCCATAACCAAATTAAAAGCATAAGGAAGGTCACTCACCCTAGCAAATGTTTCTTGGTGTTTTGCGATTACACTTTGTAGAGTTCCTTGGTTATTTGATGCAAATGATGTTGCCAACTCATGATAAGGAGCACTTAATGGCTTGAATGTAATTAAAGTAAGATGTATGTCTTTTAGTAATAAACAATAAATGAATGTGTACATATATGTTTTACTAAGGGGGGCATAATGGTTCACATTGATGCGGTATTGCCTTATTTTGTTACAGTTTTGCAGTAATTTTTATTTTATACTGCAGTATTGCGGTTTTACAAGCTTAAATGCAAGGCAGAGGCAAGTGTTCTGTCTGTTAGAACCTCAGCTTGCACAGTCAGACTGTTAGTAGCGTGCAAGATTCTGCAATTGAAGCCTTTTCCAATTAACATATGTCCAGATCTTTTATGTTATATTCATAGACCCAATTTTCTATTATTGAAAACGGTATTTGCATAGCTATCTATCTCGGCTAGCCCTTGTGGTTATTATAGATAGCCTGTACCTTTATTTAGGTTTTTAATACATTGTATTTATTTTCACTTGTAAATTTTATATAGCACAGCAGGTACTGAATAAACATGATTGTTGATTGTTGTTGTTGTTAACACTTAATATATATTATTGATCAATGATACATAGACATGTTGCTATAGTGTAGCTTTCTGTGTGGTGTTGTGGTATTTTGACTTCCCTTGCGCCCCCTCTTCCTCGCCAGCAGAATGTTTTTTGCCATAACCCACTTTTAATATGCAAACGATAAAGAGTAAACTAATGCATGTCCCAGTGAATCAACTAAATGTTTAAAAAAAGAACAATGAAAAAATTTTGCATATAATTTTTTTGTTTGTTTGCTTAAAAAATTATACCACTGCAATGAAAAAATCATTTCATCAACAATTACAAAACTACCTTAAGAAACCTTTGCACCACATTTGAAGTATATTTTGGAAGGCCTGTTATCTGTTGACAGGAAAAAAACGTTAATGTTAGTTTATGAGTTTGTAACAAATGCATAACTTTACACCCAAGCCCAAAAGGTCTATGAGGAATGCCAAAATAATGGTAGATTTGTGTCAAGTAAACCACTCTTGATGATTGCAGCAAGCTAGCAAGCGATGGAGCTGCAAGATAGTTCACAATTTATGAGTTGGAAGGGAGGCTAAGTGGATTCTGAGTTTTAAAGCAACATCTTTTTGGCAGATCCCCTATTTACCAATTTAATATTTATTCATGTCTACCCTCAGAATTGTAGAATATACCAAGTTTAACTGCTTTCAAGAGGTGAAGCCAAATGATTTCAGTTTTTGTTTCTTTGTTTCTCAATGCTCAATATCCTGTGACAAGTTTCTTGTGGTATTCAGTTTCTGATTTTTGATTCGCTAAATTTGGCAGGAAGCAAGTGAGAAAAGTTTGTCTCAAAACAGTAGAGATACACAGAGGGCAGCAGTCTTGTATAACAAATGTCTGAATGAATGTCTGCATACCTTTCCATGGAGTATCAAAGAAACCAAAATAAACTTCTTATACGCCTCAAGCATAATATGACTGACATCCATAGCAGGACATGTCACAGCCTGTTGATATGAGATACACAAAATGACATTATTAAGAAAAAAACTAGTTATTGTTCATTAATCATGTTGTAACAATGTTTAATTCATTAGAGAATCAGTTAGATATGATTGACAGAAGGATCATATTATAAAACTGAAGTTTTTTAATGTCAAGATGAGAGTATGTGGACCGCGTGGCACTAATGAAATAGTAGAAGATAATATAGGTAAGTTGTAGTGCTTGGGAACGAGGTTATTCCGGGCGAAAGCCCTTGGAATTAAATTCGGAAAAATTAATTTCCGACCTCGCTGGGATTCGAACCCACGACCTTCGGAATTGTACTACCGATGCTCTACCGATGCTCTACATCTATTTCACCCCGGCCTGCTCTCAGTCTGACCTCTAGCTCAGCTGGTAGAGCATCGGTAGTACAATTCCGAAGGTCGTGGGTTCGAATCCCAGCGAGGTCGGAA